TGTAACCTCCCTGTATCAAGGAACAACTTTTAAAATGAACGCTGTAAAAACGGTAGAATATCTTTCTAAGTCTTGAGTCACGTTCTTCCACCACATTCCACCCCTAAGACATGATGTCAGTGCCCACAGCTCATCATGCCCAGAGCTGAAAGGACACTCAAGTCAATATCTACCCTTGTGCTTCCTTGAGTTGACTTGGTCATACTTGAAAGCAGTGAATGCTTGTTCCCTAATCTGTGTATTCCTATAGTAGTGTGTGCCTAAAGGAATCATCATTTAGTTAAATGTTTCATAAGTCATCAAGCGACAATCTAGTCAAAATTGTACTAGGGAAACCAGGTATAATTCCCTACAAAGACTTTTTGAGTTACTAAACAATTTGCTGTTGAAATTGAAGTGTATTTTTAAAAAAAGTCAGAGAGCATCATTACATTCTAGTCTTCACTTTAATGAAACCCCCCATAGGTGGGGCCTTATGAGTGAGGTTTCTGCTACAAAAATATGCAGAATTTCAAACAGCAAACCCCTATGCAGAGTAAAATTCCTTGCCCTATATCACAAGTCTGTATGTTTGTATTTTGAGTTAAATATTTTAAGTATGTGTATTTTCTTTATGAATCCCTACTTAAATCTGGTGTCTTTGTTTAGCAACCAACTATCTTTTCAGACACATCAGATACAAACAAAGGCTCCACTGTTTCTTAAATCTTCTTCCAGGCTAATTGTCTACTTTAACTTGACTGTGGAAGCAGAGCCCCTGATAGTAGCAGTTGCAGTGTGATTTGGGGAATGCCTCTCACCATATCATCTTTTTTGAAACAGGCATTGTTCTTGCCAAGGGGATTCAAACTCTGTTTTTTTAACACCTGAGTTAACCACACCCATGGAGCTGGTGAAAATCCCCAGCCAATTTTGATTTGGGGATATGGAAAATTGCAGTAGAGAAAATTTAACAAGTAGAGAAAGCAGTGGTTGGAATTTCTGAACTCACGCATTATTTCTTTAACAAATTAACACAAACATACTAGTAAACCAGTGCTTAACAAGGCATTGTCGCTTCAGCCACCTAGAAGTTTGCTCCTAAAACTGTATTTTTCCCTTGAAGTGACAATCAATGAACAGAGCACCAAACATATGCAAACCAAGACTTTTCCACTCGGGTTCTTCATAGAACCATTCTTTTGGATCTTGTAATAGCCTCAAGGAAAGAAAACAAGGTTTAGTCCAGCTCTTTTCTGATGCTTCATTAAATGTTAATATTAACTCACCATGCAGGGATTTCTCCTTTATTACCCATTCAGCTTACAAAAAAAAAAAAATAAGTTTTCATTGATCCTGTGGTATGACTTCACAGTATATTTATACTGTGATCCTGTTAAATTGTGACGGGAATTTGATGTTTTCAAATGCTTCTCTCTTTCCATGCCCATTTCCCATTTGCTTTTTAGATCGTTTTTTGGTGAGCATTCCTTTTTGACATCTACTAAATGTCAGCCATAGTTTGTGTTTAAAACGTTGGCCTAGAGCCAGCAGGCTTACCAATTTATAACAGCCTGTTAAGAAACATTACATAAAATGTGAAAGCAAAATGAAAATTGCTTCAAAGAAAAATGAGGGCAAACAAGTGAAAAAAGCATATTAATGGCCTGATACCCATCCATTCCCTTGCTTCAGTCACAGTTGTCATTATGTATTGTTGCCAGACTCTGAAAGGAAATTCAAAGAAAGAATCAAAAATAATTCTTCCATATAGCAACCGTTTATTGAGTGCCTGTTCTGGATCGGCACTAGGAATACAAGGAGACTGGTTCACTCTACAAACGAGTCAACGAGTCACCATCTAATGCAGTGATTCTCAAACTTGAAATAACAACCTGCTAATATTATTATTATTATTATTATTATTATTATTATTATTATTATTATTATCCAAAGTTAATACCAAATATGATTTTAGTCTAGATGCCTTTCAGAAGGGCGGCAGGGCCTCCAGAAGGCACATATCTAAGCAGAGTATCCACTGCTAGGAATTTTTCCCAAGGAAATAACAGGAAGATGTGCATGATGTTGTCTTTCAGAGTAATGACCTTTATGTGTAAAGAGAGTAATAAATGGTTTAACAGACATTCCAGCAAGTATTTATTAGACACCTACTCTACTTACTTAACCTTGATCAAGCATTTAGCTGAGTTGTTTTTCTTGCCCACTAACATTGTGTGTGTTAGTTGTTTCTTCATATCGAAGTACTGTCTTAACCGTTTCCTGAGCCAGGTCACTGATTCACTTTCCTTTCTTACTCTTGAATCATCAATATCTTAAGTTAATCACGCTGATGCATTCTGTCTTGGGACCCTTCTGCCATGGTCATGGGGTTTATTTTTTAAGTGGCTTTTAAAACTCTGATAAGTTGATCCAAAGTTAATACCAAATATTATTTTAGTCTGGATGCTGGTGTTCTCTGTTCCTAATCCATGTTTGTATAAAAGGTTGCTTGATTCTACTTGGCCATTATTCACTAGTTTTGGCAGAAAATTGTGCACGTGAGCTATGTAATCAAGCGCGTGGTACTTACTTCGGTTGACTCACCATGGTGTCTGAGAGGTTAGCCAATTCCCTATGTTAATTTAAGTGCAGTTCTAAGTTGGTTTAAAGGTGTAGTACATTATCTAAGATCAGCTTAAAGGGGCTCAAAACTTTCATTTTCTAGGTACAGTTCAAGATTTAGTATTTGGACTACTGTTCAGCAGCCTTCTGGCCTTCTTTTTCACTCAGAAGTGAAGAATTAGATATTCTGATGTGAGTTGTTAGGAAGTAATGGAATTTCTGAACTCACGCATTATTTCTTTAACAAATTAACACAAACATACTAGTAAACCAGTGCTTAACAAGGCATTGTCGCTTCAGCCACCTACAAGTTTGCTCCTTAGACTTTATTTTTCCCTTGAAGTGACAATCAATGAACAGAGCACCAAACATATGCAAACCAAGACTTTTCCACTTGGGTTCTTCATAAAACCATTCTTTTGGATCTTCTGCTTCATTTAACCTTAGAGACAATGACATCTCAAGATTCCTTTATTCAGAAAACAAAGGTAACTGATAATTCGTTGTTATTTAAGGGTGTCTCCTCTTCAAAAATCTGAAGTCGTTGAGATGGTTAAAAAGCAAGTCAAAGTCATAACCCTTGCGATTGGTGATGGAGCAAATGATGTCAGCATGATACAGACTGCACACGTTGGTGTCGGCATAAGTGGCAATGAAGGCCTTCAGGCAGCTAATTCTTCTGACTACTCCATAGCTCAGGTAAAGCATCATCTTTGCAAAACACACCGTTTGTCTCAGTCGGCTGACACTGTGAAGTGGAAAATACTAATTTTTTTCTACTTCTGTTTTAGTTCAAGTATTTGAAGAATTTATTGATGGTTCATGGTGCCTGGAACTATAACAGAGTCTCCAAGTGCATTTTGTACTGCTTCTACAAGAACATAGTCCTCTACATTATCGAGGTAATAGCCAGTTCAGTTTAAAATACTTGTCACTTGCATATATATATATATATGTATATATATTTAAATAAATATTCTCAATGTTTTCATTAATCCTTCATTTGCCCACTTTTTCTAACTTCTAAGCAATGTTGTTGGCCATGGAGAATAATTAAGGTTTAAGTTCTGGCTAAAAACGTTATATTGCTTTGGTAAGAAATGTTGAATTAGAATTGCTAATGAAGTAATGTCTTTAGTTTTTAAAAGATGACAAACTATTTTTTTGTATAGCTCAAAAGCATATTAGAGAAAGCCATGCAGTGTTTAGGGCTGCACACATGGAAAACTATCTAAAAAGGAAAGTAAGGGAATGACAAACATGAAACAGGGTAGTTCAACTAAGGGGTAGAGAATCAGGAAGGATACACACATAGTTTTGCTACTATTGGTCATCTGTAGTTGTTATGTTTCAAACTTCGATACTTATATCCTTGCTATCCAGCTCTGTTTTGGCTTCTGAGTTTGGTAGATAGCAAGAGTTCAGGTAGTAATTTCTCTACAAATTATCAGAATATTTAGTTCCTGTATTTGCATAGCAAGGAATTTTATATTCTTTTCATGTGTCATACATAACATCATTTTTTAAATGAAAACTTAACCCCAGTCAGGAATATCACTTCTAAAATGATGTATTTTGCTCTACAAACATTTCTACAGCACCTACCAGGTGCCAGGCACCAGGCTTAGTTCAGCAGCTACAAAGTAAATCACACATGGCTCCTGTCCTGCAGGAATTTGCCATAGAAATACAGTGCAAGCCAGATGTGTAATTTTACATTTTCTAGAAGCTATATCAGCAACAACTAAAAATTAAAGCCCTTGATCATTTTAAAATGATATTTGATGTAACAGTATATTCAATATTATTTCAACATGTAATCACTATAAAAAGTTACTGATGTGAGATTTTACATTCTTCATACCAAATATTCAAAACTAGTATGTATTTTGTACTTACAGCTCATCTCAATTTGAACTAATTATATTTCAAGTGTTCAAGAGCCACATGTGGCCAGCGTCTGCCATACTGGACAGTTCAGCCCTGGTGGACAAATAATGAACTGAATGATTAATCAGGCTGTGATTAGTTATTTACCTTTTATATATATATATGGCCATTTTTGTCATCAGATGCTGTATTCATAATATTTAAACTCTGGGTGTTGCCATTTTCTTGCTCCTCTTACAGCCCCAGAGAGCGCGGCGATGGGCTCTCCATAGCTTGTTGAGAAAACCCTCCATCTTCCATTCCTGTTAGAGGACCTGACTGCACCCTCATAAATCTGCCCAGGGCTCCCTTACAGATGTTGGTTTATGCCACCATGCCCTCTAATCTGTTGACCATTTCCACACATCTGTCAGAAGAGACAGACCTAACCATTTGCTGTATGTAAATGATATCCCATATTTTACACCAGAGAAGTAATACCAAAAACAAAAATATCAGTGGATTTCACATTCACCATCTTGGCACATTCGTTGGGAACTGCTGTATGTTTGGTTCATCTGTTCTCTGTTCCTCTGTCAGAATGCTTGTCTTCTAAAGTGTTGACTGAGCATTCCTTTTATTATGTAAGGCAGGCTTGTACAACTGAGTTTTGAAGTATGCAGGCAATTTTGTGTAATGGTCACTAAAAATGTACAGGATACAATCCATTAGGAAAAATAACCAAGTACTTGAACACATAAACAGAATAATCTATGTATTTACTCAAATGGTTCATTACTGGTGAATTTGGTCTGGCATAGTGTGTGTTTTGAAGAAAAATGCACTTTCAAAATAATTTATGAGATCCAAAAAATGTGTATTCTTTGCTGTGTATGTAAATATGTGATTGTTTTCTAAAATATTTTTCATTTCCAAACTCCTCTGTAGTTCTAGCTTTTCTAATTACATTTTCTTCTCACCCCATAACATTGACATTCAAAAGAATAGCAATTTATACAGTTTATTTACGTATACTTTTTAAAGATACCAGGAGTTTATAAAGCCATGGGCAGCAATTAATCTGCTTACAAAAATTTAATTTTGTAAAATGAAATGAGTACTCAACTTGCTGCTTTTTAAAATTCAGATTATTTGAAAATCAACAATGAAGAGGCCAAAACTTATGTACTAATGGGGAAAATAAAATATATAAAACTCCAATGAGAAACTAAATCTGCACGCTCTGTTTCAAATTCAGACTGACGTGATTTGTGGTTGATTAGCCCTACATTTCACTTGGCTTTCTTTGAATTTAAAACCTCTTCATGAGATATTTAGCACTGATCAAATTCTTTACATGTTGAAAAGGATGTAAGTCCTAAACTTTACTGACAATCTCATTTTAAAGTTATTTTTCTTCTAGCACTTTATGGAAATATATTCTGAATATAATTCAACGATCTTGGAAACGAATTGACCTTTTAAATCAATTCCCAGATACCCAACTTTCGCCAGCTAAAACAAGTTCTGCAGATGTTAATGACTCATGTCAATACTGTGAATGAATAGTCAGAAAACACATCATTGAATGTCTCTAGTGAGGACAACTGCCAGTCTCAAATCTCTCCTTTCAGTTTTTTGTGCTGATCAGGCGTGGGAGCAGAGAACTCATTGACTATTTGTAAGCTGCTGCTTAATATGCAGAAATGCTCCATCAGGAAAATGTCTGTGAAGCTTTAACTACCACGCCTCTACTGGGACGTGGAACTTAGAAAATAATACCAGCAGAGGCAGGTCTGAAGTTTCTTCCCTAATAAAGGAATAATCTGGAATACTATGGGTTTTATAGATTATCTGCAGAAACTACTTTTTCCATTGATACGTTGCCAGGAATGTCACTATCTCTAGCTACTCCATTGCCATAAATTACAGCCAAACAAATAAACAGATTTGGCAGGTGGCAATATAAAGCACTTATTTATAGTGGCTGCCCAGCAGCAACTCTAGGTGTTCACTGAAATTACTGGCTCTTTCTAAAGAGTGTTTTATTATTGTTATTTCTCTGAAACACCTGATTCCTTCCCAGCAAAATAAGAACTTTACTTTCAAACAATTGGTTGTATCCAGGTTTTCTGATAAGATCCCAAAACAGCGCAGTGTCTCTAATTTCTCAGAGCTTTGATTAAAGTCCACAAGGTGATACTTTTTCCCAGCATGTTGTGTTGAGATAGTGGATTTCCTGTGAATTTTAATATTCTAGGTACCTCCCCAGAGGAACTAATGTTTTCTTTTTGCAATCCATGATTTTGATTGAGTCAAAAGAGGGACTTTTATGTGTTTGTAGTGATTAAGGTGTTGTTTTATTTAGTTGAGGTATGTTTCTAATATATCTTTTAACCACAAATCTCAGACTAACTGGAAATCAGCCTTCTGGTGCACTTCTTCACTATTAAAGATCTCCTCCTTTCAGATATATGAACTTGAATGCCAGAATATTTGTGTGAAGGTTAGGGTACTATTTTGAAAGGCTCTGTTCTTATTCTGGTCATGTCTCCCTTTTAAAAAAAGAAATTAGAATAATTTTTTTTAATGCAGGAACAGAATTTCTAAAAACATATCCATAATAAAGCCAAAACTGAAGAAACAAAATAGCAACAGACTCACAGAACCCAGAATGGACTAACAATTACCCAAGGGAAAGGGACTGGGGAGGATGGGTGGGAAGGAAGAAAGAAGGAGAATAAGGGGTATTACGATTAGCACACATAATGTAGGGGTGAGGGAGAAGGGCACAGGAAAGGCAGTATAGCACAGAGAAGACAAGTAGTGACTCTATAGCTTCTTACTACGCTGATGGACAGTGACTGTAATGGGATATGTTGATAATGGAGGGAATCTAGTAGCCACAATGTTGCTCATGTGATTGTATATTAATACCTAAATATATCTAAATAAATAAATAGATAGATAGATAGATAGATAGATAAATAGATAAATAAATAAATAAATAAATAAAATACATAGCCTTTATCAAATGCCTTCTATGAAGGTTTCTTCTCCACAAAAAATAAAATAAAATAAATAATAAAATAAAATACATGTTCTTATTCTCAGTAGGAAAAGCAAAGAAATAAAAATGTTGGTAGTTTTCCACTTAAAAATTTCTGACATAAAGCGGTTAATTTATGCATTTTAAAATAAACTTTGAGTGCAGACATTGGTTTATTTGTAAATTATTTCGAATTTGAAACTTTCTGTAAAAATTTATTGATTTGAGAGAGGTTCTTAAATTTCAAGTTCGTAGTAATATTCAAGTCAGCACTGAATGTTGCGTACAAAGAAGCTAGGAGACCATTCACATTTACAAATGTTTACTCACAAATTAACATAATTTTCCCATAGTATGCAGTATTGATTGCGAATGCATTTATGATCATAATCTTTAAGCCAAGTCATATCCGTTAGACAAATTTGATATGCATGTAGCTTCAGCTTTCTTTAGACCAACAAAGATTGGACTGCATCTTCGTAGACTAGTGAGGCCATAATTTGAAAGTTTGTGTTTAAAAATTCTTTGTATTTCCATCATACCCTAAGAAATCTGAAAGAGCTTCTTAGCATGTCTTACTGCTGTAGATTGCAGTTGTCTTCGGGGACAGCATTACCATCACCCAGAGTATCACAGATATGTATTTACATAATCCACATCTCAAAAAGGCCAAATGTGAAAACACAATAGCATGAAAGTCTGTCTTGTCAACTTGTGTCTACTTCTGCTTTTAAGAAAAAAATGTCTGAAGTCAGCAGCACCACCCTAAGGAATAAAATTGATTTCACATGAAGATGCTAAATTATTTTTATGTTTGCATGCACGAAAGAATGATCTGGCTCCTAGTCTAGAGCAAATGTTCAAATTTTTCCTCTTAAAAATGCAGCCAGAATTTCAGATTTGACTCAGCTTTCTATGCTTTTGTTATTGTTGTTAATGCGTGTTACAACCCTGACACGATTTGGACTTATTTTTCATGTGCTATTGCTCCTTTGTTTTCTTTTCCATCTCATGAAGCAGATACTCGTTTTTATATATGCTCAATCGTTCCTTCCCACTATAAAAAGGAAAAAAATCAATGTGGGCACGGAAGCTGTTCATGGGGAGGCCAGCCTGGGTACATATTGATAAATGGTGAATTTGTAGCAATTCATGCTTCCATAATGAGGTTAAATGAAACGTGAAGTGAAGCAAAGTCCCTGCAACTCTGATTCAAAAATTCACTTGACCCGCACAGCAAGACTGCTTTCCTCTTACAGGCTTTTTTGTTGTTGTTATGTTTTGGTTTCGTGTATGAGTTTATGTAATCTCATTGCCAGGCCAGATTTTTTTACTCTTCCAGATCAACTTGATTTTTAATTACATCTTAGATCTCCTTTTCAAAACATAAATGTAGATACTATCGATTTTAGTAATACTTTAATTTTTCAGTTGTTTTAAACATGGTAGAGAAAGTTTCTCTAAATTGCCCTTTAATTTTGTATTCAAAGTTAAGGTTTCTGTTTTTCAGAGTATCCCAAAATATATAAGAACATAATGCTGTATTAGTGAAGTTTTTCATCAGAACGTAAGTTTTAGTTACAAAATATTTTGCATATATAAATTCAAATTTCACATTCTGATGGCTGTAATTATCAAGAACTCTAAAAAAAACTAATCAATTTTTATCAGTTAATTCTAAGCACTCATTCCCCCCACCAAACAAAAACAAAAATAAAAACAAGGAGACAACAAGGAAAGTTTTGGAGGTGATGGATATGTCTGTTAACCTGATTGCTACCTAAATGTGTGCAGTTGTTTTGTGTGTCAGTTGTACCTCAGTGAAGCTGTTTTGACAAAAGAAAGAATTCATCCTAAGAAAATAGAGATGTGTAGGGTTTCCATACAAGAATATTCAGTTCAGAGTTAGGTATAACAGCAAAACCTGGCAGCAAGCTAAATGTCCAAAAGTAACTATAGCCACACTGTAGAGAATATACATCCACTAACAGCATTTTATGTATTTAACAACTTAAGAAAATGTGTATTATATAATGTTAAGAGGGAACCTGTGACAGCATGTATAGGAGGTTTCCAGTAAGGTAAATTTGTGAATGTATATAAGTGAACTATATGAGTACGACAGTGCAGAAGAAAATAAGTAGTGGTTGTATTTATTACAGAAAATCATTTTATTTTCTAATACACTAGTGTTATTTTATAATAAAAACAACAATAATCTTTAACTACCAGGAGATAAGTATTTCCAGAGGAAATTGAACAGCTAAAAATTTTATGATGTAAAATGAATTCCCTAGAGTGCCTTCTAGAAAACAAGGTTATATTTAATTTTTTAATTCTGTGATTGCCTATTGATATAATCCTTTTTTTCATTCAATAAGTAGAACCAGTTCTGCCTAAAATAACAAATATCTTATGAAAGCACCCCTTCAACTAAAAAAAAAAAAAGCAAAGAAATGCCATTTTTCAAGAAAGTCATGAAAATAATATGTTAATGCCCCTATTATGCAACAGCTGACTATTCACCAGAGTCTGAGCAATGCGTTTATGCTTCTGTGTTCTGATTTTGTGGATTTTGTGTTTTTTCTTCCTAGATCTGGTTTGCCTTTGTGAATGGCTTTTCTGGACAGATCCTCTTTGAGAGATGGTGTATAGGTCTTTATAATGTGGTAAGTTTAGGATATTTGATTATTCTTGTTTTTCTGAATACTTTGAGATATACATTAACCCTGCATTTGGCTGCTTGGTGTAATGACCAGTTTATGCACTTTAGATGTTTACAGCAATGCCTCCCTTAACTCTTGGAATATTCGAGAGATCATGCAGAAAAGAAAATATGTTGAAGTATCCTGAATTATACAAAACATCTCAGAATGCCCTGGACTTCAACACCAAGGTAGGACACGATATCCCAGCACTTTTTCGGGGGCAGGGGAGGGGGACTTGCTTTACTGCTGGGGGGTATCATGTCTTCCAAAGTGAAGGAGGGAACGCCAGAGGGCCAGCCATGGCAGGTCACATTTGCCTAAGGTTCTGGTATGGACTAAGATTTGCCTGTTTGTTTTGTTTTGTTATAAAATTAAAATGTAACCGCGATTACCTGGGATGTGCCAGGCAGCCGTAAACCAGGTCTGGAAGACAGACCTGAGTTTCTTTGGCCCTTTGACTTTCTGCTTTGGGGGTATTCTGGGGAAATGCTCATTTCTCACAGCATCAGTCATCCGGGACTGACAAGGACTGTCTGTACATGTGTAAAGGGGTAAGATACAATATGTCACTTTTTCCTAATTATTGTTTTGTGAAATAAAACATTTATCATCATTAGAGTATTAGATTCTTTGTATTGGATATTAAAATTATAGCCTCTGGAAATAATTCATTTACTCATAATACTCAGTATCTCCAAGCCATAAAATTTTAAATACAAGATATTCAAGATTTTATCTAAAATCATGTTCTGGGTTTATATCTTACATGACACACCATGGATTATGTCATCTCTGTGATTCATGGTATTTATTCCTCCCAACAATACAAATAACTCATTTTCCACATAGTTTTCTTTCCTGCCAGTATATAAAGTGTTTCCACTGGTATTTGTTAGTAATTCAGGTTTCTGTTCAGTGTGAGGGAAAAAAAATTTTAATGTTACGACACTCAAGGTAGATGCCATTAGAAACCACAATAAAAGCAACAAATACAATACAACTTCATGGAATTTTTTCCATCTACTGTAGTGCATGTTTATTGGTAGGTTACTAATAATTAGATATAACCTAAATTTATTGTTAATGGATTTAGGACAGTTAATGTAGGATGTTTTTAGTATTTACTAATTCATAAAGCTCTTGAATGACATTTATTCCCAGTGAACAGAAGGCAACAGGTGCTTCAAGTGCCTCTGACCCCCCACTGTAAATGCCAGTGCCAAGTTTACTGCCGGGATGTCATTCATCTTCTGAGATTAAGTCTTCACAAGCACACTGTGCAGCCATGTCCAGGTGTATGCACAGCTTGACGATGGCATTGTTTTAAATAACTGATTTGGTTAATTCTTTTTTAATGAATGGTTTTTAGACTTATACATTGGTTCAGTATTTTTAGTGGTCTCTTAAAACTGTTACTATCATAATATGTAGTGTCTGTGCTTTTATTTTTTAATGTTTTCTTTTTGGTTTTTTTTTTAATGTATAATGTCCTGTTTGGATTCAGTTCTACCACCTTACTGTAATGTTTTCCATTACCTATGATTGGGTATTTTAAGTAGTGGAAAGTCACAGTCGGGCAGACACAATGGACTGTGAGTTCTTGTTTTTCCTGAAAATGTGGTCTGAGAGCTAGGAAATTTCCAAATCTACCGCCATAGTAACGTAATTCTTGCTGACATGGACAGTTGTATCAATGTCAGCCACAGGTCTCCCTCTATTGTAGCTCAGGCTCCACAGTGTTTTCCAGAGAGTTAACTTCCCAGCTGCAAACTTGGCCACGATACTCTTGGTTATAAACATAAATTGATCCTCACAGGATTACCCAAAGCCATTCCTGAAAAGTCCCATTCTGTCATGCCCTATGCACATGGCAACTTGGATATAGTTTTGTGGCCAAGGAAAAATAGTATATAGTTTTAATGTGGAAACATCATTCCTGGTATCATTTGCTATTCTTTTGTTGTTTGCAAAGTATTTCATAATCTGCAAAGCCCATGTATTTTTAAAAGTTATTAGATCAACTCAAATAGATTATACAACTTCTGCATCCATTTGAATATATACACACAGGGTGCCAACATCTTTTACAGGGTTGATGGATTTTTCTAATGACTTCAGCAAAAATTCTTTGATTAAATCCCAAAAAGTATTTTAAAATTCAGGGACAAATGGCTGCAAAATGCATAGTTGTACACACAGCAGTTGCTGTGGGTCCCCAGTGTAGAAGCATTGTTGCCCTGAATGGTGATGATTATGTTTGTTATGGTAAAAAGGGTCGGAGGTTCTGAGGTCATGACAGGGGTTAAAGGATTAGCATGTGACAATAAGTATCGGTCAGGAAAATGGAAAAGTAGAACTAATTTTTCTTGCACCCACCTGTGCTTTCTGTCAAATAAAAACTTGTGGTAATGACATAGTGAGGAGAAGAGACAAAGGTTAATGAGTAACACAAGTTCAAATGTGTAATGTATTGGAGCGTAAATTGGATCATACAATCCAGTGTGGCTGCATGAACTAACAAAGGAGATTGAGATCACAGTGGAAAATTTGGGGAGGCAGGCAACTTAATTTCTGTTGTTTGAACAGCTTAAAACTATTAATACATGCCAATTTTATTCAGCGTTAAGTTTTGCTTGCAAGAAACACTTTTAAATGGTAAAACTACAGCTCTTCAAAGGACCATAAGAATCCTAAAGTTTTTCTATAACTTAATCTTTCACAACAATGCTACCAAGAAAGGACCAATGATATATGGTCTCCTGTTCTGAAAATACAATAGCTAAAGAAAGTAATAACCCTGAAATGATGTTATAACTGTATGAAATTTGTTGGCAGGTGTTAATTGTGAATGCCTTTTATAAAATTCAGCTCTAGTGATAATACTTTAAGAAATGATCTAACTTAAATGCTATACTTGCTATTTTTAGTATAGTGTGTGTGTGTGTGTGTGTGTGTGTGTGTGTGTGTGTGGAGAGAGAGTATTATATCCTTACCATTGAAATGTTGCAACCATTACTGCACATGAGAAAGAGAAATCCGTGACTTCACCAAATTATAACCTTTTCCAAAGTCTCTTCTTCTGTAATTATGAAAATAGTCCCACTTAAAGAATTTCAGCATCTGTGTGTGTTTTAAATTTTCTTTTCTTTTTCAGGCAGAAATTTAGACTTTGAATATTTAGTTTTTAAAAAGCAGAAAAAAATTTCAGTGAAGCTGAAAAAACATTTTGAGAAACATAAAAATAAATAAATGACCCATGAAGGTCTAAGAGGCAGAAAGTGTCTGTCAGTTCTGTTAATTCACAGTGGTGGCCCAACAGAAACACGTTTTGTGAATCTAGCTCATAGATAAAAAGAAAGGTCAGAGTTCACAGAGCTAGTTTATCACAAATGGTTCTCATGGATTTTTGTTTTCCCTCAGGTTTTCTGGGTTCATTGTTTAAATGGCCTCTTCCACTCAGTTATTCTGTTTTGGTTTCCACTAAAAGCCCTTCAGTATGGTAAGTAGAAAGGATATGAATTCTAAGAGATGACTTTTTACTATTTTAGAAAAATAACTCATTGTCAATATATGTTAGAAATTATAGTCGGGTTTCATTTTGTAGTATTTTCCTTAACCTAAAATACATGCATTCAAAAGTTGTACACACTTTAAAGATCTTTATTATTCCTTTGGGAGCAAAGTGATTTAATATATGCAAAGCCTTTCTTCTCTACTCCTCATGTTTTCCAAACTTGCAGAGAGTTAAATTTAGGGCTGTTTTTTTCCTCTTTTGATGTATAGTTTGAAAACAATACTGCTAATAGTTTATGTAGTCTATTTATTATACCTATGAGACTTGTATCAAACTCTTTATACTGAACCTAATCAGACATGCTAGTATTTTCAAATACACTTGAGCCAATGTTTTCAATGAAATTTTTAAAAAGGTTTTATGTTGGCCTTGAAGTGTAAGCTTTTCTTCTGCTTGTTTTGAGGGAGTGATTTTTATCCTGTCAGTTTTGAAAGATAGGATCATGGTGAATTTCCTATACACATAAAAATGATTAAGTAGCCACTTTAGAAGAGGGATCCCTGTGCTGCTCAAGCAGGTGCTGCCCTGTCCCGGAGTGGACCTTGCCTTAAGATTCTGAGGACAACAGCTGACCCTTCAGTACCTCTTCTCCACCAGAGGATCTGTCAGCCCTTTAGAAGCCAAGCCATACTCACTGACTGTGAGTTAATGATTGCCAACAGAAGAGCATGCTGTCCATCCATTCTTGCCCACCTACAGTCTATTCTGCACAGGCAACCAAAGTTATTCTTACAAAACATAAATCAGACAAGGTGCCTCTCTCCTACAGTTGTATTTATAATGCTTAGAACAGTGCCCAGCTCATTGTCATAGGCCGTCGGTAAATTGTCAGTGAGCTAACAAGGGCATGTGGCATGAGTAGGGTGAGTGCATGTTACAGAGAAGGCAGTGGTTTCATGTCCTAATCAGACAATTTCATCTCATTTCTTGATTAATTGCTCTGCCAGTACAACAGTAAATACTTCTCATTTTCTAGGCCATGGAAATGAGTGTGGTAAGAAAATCTAACTAAAGTATAGAATATTTCCCAGTGGGCCAGGAGAACCACAGTGGATTTTTTTCTTGAGACATAATTTACATAGCATAAAATTGGCTCTTTTCTGTTATACAATTTGGTGGGTTTTAGTATATTGACAGAATTGTGCAAATTGTCACCACTATCTAATGCCTGAACATTTTCATCACCCCTTAAGGAAATCCACATCCATTCACATAATTCCCCAGTTCCTGGAAACCTCTAATTTTTGTGTCTTTGGATTTGTCTGTTCTGGACATTTCATATAAATAGAATCATAAACTGTGTGACCTTGGTTCATCCATATTGCAGCATGAATCAGTACTTTATTCCTTTTTATGGCTGAATGATATTCCATAGTATGAATAGACCACATTTTGTTTATCTGCTTATCAGTTGATGAGTTTAAATTATTACTCTTTGGAGCCATGGATATTAGAATCCAGAGGGGAAGGAGTTGGGGTGGCTGAAATAGGTGAAGAGGAAAAGAATTAGTGGGAATGTTTGATATCTTAATCTGGGTAATGGTTACATAAGTGTATACACACATCACAATTCACTGGGCTGTATACTACGGTCTGTGCTTTTTATTATATATACTTTGGTAATAATAAAAATATATTTCATGGTCTCCTACTGATACTGCCTATACAAATTTTAGAATACAAGTTCTTTTTTTTTAACTTAAAATGAAAAAATCCAGGGTTCAATGCAGGACCTTAGACAAGTTTTCCAGGTAAAGTTTATTTTCAAAATGCAAAATCAATATACGTATGAAAGACTAGGCATGTCCATCTACAAGCCACTATTTCACCATTCTAAACTAGAACAAAGGAACTTAATATCAAAAGTATCTCAAATCAGATAGCATCAAAAACACCTTGGCAGTGACAGGGTTTGAAAGGAACCCCCAGGCACTCCAGCTTCTGGAGAGCCAATCCTACGCTTCCTTTTGTATTTGTCTGGGAAACTGCCCGAGCCAACCAGCTTCAGCAGAGGCAGTTCACAAGGGTGCTCCCTGTGGGGTCCAAATCTAGCTGAGTCCAGAGAGCACATGTTTCCTCTTCTTAATATGTGAATGGCCTGTAGCATAAATGGCATTTTAACATTCTAATGTTGAGGGTTTTATCATTTTTTTTGCCTTGTTTTTAATTTTTAAATGAGAGGTTTTTGTTTTCCTAGCTTTCTAGAATAAGCATGCTATGTTGTGTAGCTGAATACTCATTTATTCACTTGCCTAGTGGTTCTCAAAGTATGACCTAGAGGCACCAGCAAATACCCATGACCATTTTGAAGTACATGAGGTCAAAATGTCGTTGTTTCAAAATTTGTATAATATTATCAAGAGCAAACGGGGGGTATAATCGCTGGTACCTTAGCACAGACAGTGGTACCACTGTGCTAGTAGGCGTTATATTCTTCACTGCTGTGTGCCCTCGTTAAAAAGAACAACAAAAACCAGTTTCACTTAAGAGTGCCCTTGGAGACAACTGTAAAACTAATACTTCCATTAAATCTTGAAACTTGGTATACATCTTATTAATATTCTGTTACAAAACAGAAATTGTGCGTGAAGCACTGCTGCTGCATACCAGAGGGCGGCAATTCCAAATAGCTCTAGTGCCTTGGGGATTGTTTGTGTTGGGAGCTGGACCAGCTGCTTTCATGAGGTTACAGAATCGTGTGGGCAAAAGATCCATTCAAATGTGAAGTGGACCAGTGGATTTTAATGGAATAGAGTACTAAAAATTCACTGATATAATTTCAGACTCCATACTGCAACTAACCTTTAAGAAACTATCTCTTCTTCTTTAGGAAACTACTTGTTGAATTTTGATGGAGTATCAAAGAATATCCACAATTATCAGAAAAGATTACTAACATACTCCTTTCTTTTATAACCCCCCATCTCTCTGTGAAGTTGAATTTCCCATATATTTCAACCAGAACAATATGAGAATCCAGCTCCTTCTATTAGGCTAGAAGTTAAAAAGACTAAAAATTTAAAAAAATTTAAAAAACAGCCAATTTTCTCACCTTTTTTGGCTTTCAAAAATATTGTTTTTAAATAAAATCACTACATAGTTTTTAATTTTTTCTCTTAATTTCCAACTTGGTAAATATCAATATATATAAACATGAACAAAAGATTTGGGAGATTGTCGATAATTTTCAGTGTAAAGGGGTCTGGAGAGGAGGAGGTATGCAAACAAATGATTTACTTCAATCATCCAAATGCTAAACCTGACAAAACCCAACAAAAAATATCAAAAGATATTTTAATTTTTTTCTTCAATGTGAGCTTGAAATGAATCTCTGGAATTACAAAATACTTTGAACCAGTTGTGAATAGAAGTCTTAGTTGGACCCAAGAATGATTGTTTTTGATAACTTGTTTACATTGGTTAAGTGTTGAAGCATGGAATTCAGGAAGCAATCATAAGATATTTTCAGCTACTTAGTAGATTTCTGAGCTTGTTAATTTGGTTCCATGGAAATGTGCAGATTAATTGCAGACCTTTGTATGTTTGTCTACAAGAAGCCCATAAGACGTAGCACATCAGACCCTATGTCCTTAATCATGGCATTACCCCCATAGAGAAGGCAGTCTCCTAGATTGTGGGGCTGACTGTTAAGCAGCCCTTCCTGTCTACTTTTAACTGAAAACTTTAGAGAGGAAAGGCTCACACTACAGAGCGTCTGTCGTGCACCAGGCGTGAGCTTGGTGCTTTGCATATGGAACCTCATTTTAACTTCACCCTCCAGGGTAGGTAGTTTCACTCCACCTTTCAGTGAAGAAATGGAATTCCATGAACATTAACTGTAAATAACCCAAGGTGACTCTACTAGCAACAGAACCAAGCCTGGTTTCTGTCTCTAACTCACTGGACTCTTTTCTCTTCATACCAGAACTCATCTTGTCTCTTGTCTCTGACGCCCTCCCTGTCTGGTCACATGCTTTATTCTAACATAGTTTGTCCTTACACATAAGGCTCTGAATAAATATTGTTGAATATGTGCATAAATAAAATATTACACATACCATGGGTTTTATATTTTGCAATAATGTCAATGATTTAATTATCCAGTTATTTTTAATTGTCTTTTCTTTTTTATCAGTAATAGTGATTTTTGTTTCTTAGCTGCCACTCCCTTCACCTAAAACCACATTTGTTAATCATTGCTGGAATTACAGAGTACTTTAAAATATACACCTGAGTTCAGCCAGACCTTCAAAGAGCCATATGCCTGGAATCATATTAGTGCTCCTCAGCCTTCTGTGACTTACTTATTTGAATCCCAGTTGGTCCGACACCAACAGCTTCACTGGAGATAGTAAGAAGGCTCCCTGAGACTCTCATGTGCATGTTAACAAAGCTCTTCATTACGGGTTCAGAATGCCTTCTCCTGTCAGAATGCCTTAGTGCCCATAGCATTAAGCTTTGCTTGAATAATTAGTATGATTTTTTTTTTAATTTTGTGAACGCTGACGGTTAACAAATCAGGTTTCCTTCTTCATGTTGGCTATTAGAAATTTGTTTTTGATGTGTGACCCATGTCTACAGCAACTTTGTGAGACTCACAATGTTCTTTGTTTAATTAGCCCTACGTCTGGCTCCATTTTGTGGCCCTTGGTTCCCCTTCTTTTGTTCAGCACTTCTAAATTGATTCATCTTTGAAAAGATTCTGGAAAGACTGCATTTATTTTCTTTTCTAATAAGCCTCTCTTCCTTTTATACAGGTACTGTATTCGGAAATGGAAAGACCTCCGATTATCTGCTGCTGGGAAACTTTGTTTACACTGTGAGTGCAGGGCATTTGCCTAATTTGTATATAAAATCAAATCCTTTCATACGTGCCCATTTAACTTTCAGATTTAAAAACATTTCTGGATTTAAGGGTTATTTAGCCTCCCCTTTAAAAATAAAGTAAGGTGTTAGACTATTAGAGATTATTTTATATTAGGTTATTAAAATGTCAGTTAGGCTCACTGACTTTATAGACTTCGGTGGCGGTTATTTTCAGTATTCCCTCTTCACTCTGCCCCTCAGCTCCCATTTGCTCTTTTTCTCTTCCTTGTCCCTTTTTGCTCAATTTTATTTTGCAGTCCTTATTAATATTTTCTTGCTCTCCTGAACCTATGGCAAATATTATCATTCTATTCTTGGGTGTTTAAACCAGGAATTATCCTGCAGTCTCATGATAACTAAAATGGGAGAGAAATCTCCACTCTTTGGGAATACTTCACCCATGCAAGATACAGAAGCCACTGTGCCAAATGCGTGGGGAGGGTGTACGGGTGAGTGTGAGCCCATTCCTGCCATAAGGAGACAAATAGTTTTTCAAAACGTTTTTCCCTAAAAAGGGAAAGCACTACTTGAATGCTAATGCCCTAGTCACAAAGTTGGTATCTGATAAAAGCTAAATTTTATCTTTTATTTAACCTTCAACTCCGAATTCTCAGACGGGGTCTTTTATCTCCACCTGTGTGTCCTTCTCCTTGACCCCGAATGGGGGCAGTGTGCTGGTTTAAGTACCAGTGACTATCAGTGCGGCAAACTCGGCTGGTAAAAAAAACTATGATATGATGTTGAAATATCAAGCGTTTAAATGGTATGATGTTAAGGACATTAAGTAACAGAGTGAGTAAGATTTTCTGGGCATATCTCCTTTCCATTGACATCATTACTGAAGTAGTAACAAAGGAAAAATATGTATGGGAGGCTGGTGACTTGTTCTCATTTCACATGAGTACAAAATAGAAATAAGTAAATACCTTGATAGAGTAAGTTTAGAAATTAATTAGTATATGTTATAGAAGTTTCCTAGGGACAATTAAAGTACTCAGGTCTCAGGAGGGTGTTTTTCTTAAATTTTATGTCAGACTTTATCTCTTATTTCAGAACTGTTTATATAGCTTAGGTTAATTAATATTTGCATTTTCATATGAGTTTTATTTGTACAGATTAATATGCTAAACTGCCATTAAATATCCTGCCAAAAAAAGCTCAAATGCTTCACTTTAATCTAAAAAAAAAGACTTTACAACCTCACTGGGAAGCATCTAAGCAAATATTTTGTGCAAACCCTTAAAGTGCCCAAAAGTAGGACTAGGCACTTCAAGAACTTGTTGCTCACCAATGCTAAGCAAACATCACACTTCCGTCACTGCAAACTAACAAAAGTACCCAGAGATCCCTTGACTACTAACAATATTTAAAATTTTATTATTAATTATAAATAGGTAACAGTGCAACCCTAAGCACTGTTCTTAGTGTTTTACACTCAAAACCCTGTGATGTAGATAAGCTTTATCAGTCCCAGATGAGGGAGCTGAGACACTGATGTTGTGTAACTTGCCTGTTATTTAACCAAAACAGCTAGCAAATGATGGAGTCTTGAATACAAATAGTCTGACTGCAGGACAAGTTCATTTAACCACTATGCTGTCCTGTGGAAAACGCTGGGCAGTTCATTGAACCTGGTTCCTTTACTTCAGATTTAGTAGCATAGTTACCGAAGATGATGAGTCTGTACATCATGGAGGGTGTAACAGGCTCTTCTATTCTCATGTACAGGTTTCAAGTAAGTAAATTTAAAAGTAAGTGTTTAGATTTCTAAATATCCAGTTATATTACCTTTAAAATCTATTTTTAACATTCAGAAAGTAGGGGCTTTTAAGTGTTACCATTGATATAAAATACAGACACCTGAAAACCCAGGTTACCACAGGTGTTCATTCTCCGTCACTCTTAATGAATCCTCCAAGAAGCAGGCAGACGCATGCTCAGCAGCCACCTGCCTGTGAAGGGGAGAGGCAGGGCAGAGCGACAGAAGTGTGATGCTTCTTGTAGCAGTCCGGACTGGCCCCAGTGGTAACATTCAGCCATCCAGCTAATTCACTTGTTTATTTGCTTGTTTTACGTACAAGGCAAGCTATAAATAATCTACCAGTCCTGTAGGCTGGTGCAGAGACATCCGTTCTTTATAAACTTCACTTTCAATCATTTGATGTACTATCATATTTATACAGTATACTAACATTTTCCCTTTTTGTCTCAGTTTGTGGTAATAACTGTGTGTTTGAAGGCTGGACTGGAGACATCATCCTGGACATGGGTAAGCGTATCTCTAGTCACAGCCAAGACATTTACTTAGGTGTTATCACCAATTTTTTGGTTATTTTTCATTCTAACTTTATGTATGCCTGCACCCTAGTTCCACAGGTGGTTAGGTGGGGGGAAGAGGGGAGGCGGAGATACTAGTTGTCTAGTTTAGAAACACTGAGTAAAGCAAACAAGTTTATTTACCATAGGACTTCTCAAAGCCTTTAATATATCATTAATTATTATATATTGTAAATAGCCCAGGAAGGGACAGGCTTTAAAACTTGACATGAATCTTTTCTTAGTTGAGTATGTCACAAGACTGGCATTCAGCAGAACACGCACTGGCAAGTGATTCTGAAGACAATATTGTTAATAAAAGACTTGTCCTCAGACATCTTTAAATATCCAGGCTGGATAAAACAAGTTCCATTTTAGATTTGTTAGTTTTGAAGAAACAGAGGAAACAAAAAGAAATGAAATTTTGATGTTCAAGGGAAAGATTGGCACTAGAAATTTGGATTTGACAGTCATCAGCATACAGATAGTATTCACGAAGGTCTAGTGTCTCTAAGCTAGCGCAGGTGGAGTAAAAGTAAAGGAGATGTAAAGATGGTTAGGGATAAGAAAGATAAGAGAGAACTAGCAAATCAGGCAAAGAGGCCAGTTCCAAATGTCAGCACCAAAATTATCATAACAGTTGTGGGAGAGAGAATCACTTAATGGAAGATCCAGTTAGAACATATACTCACACATTTAAAATTCTTATAATTTAAAAATTTAAATTCTTATAAATTCTTATAAATAATATTTAAAAATTCTTATAAATAATATTTTGTGGATGTAGTAAAAAATTAATATGGGTTGGAGGGGATTAAAGACAGCAGCATGAGAGGTGAGACAGAAACCTCTTCCCAAAACCACATATAATATGAATATATAGAAAATACATCAAATCCTGACAGAGCAACAGGAAAAATTAATATGGGAATTTGTGAAAGCCTTGTTTGTGGTTGCGTACTTAGTCTCCATTAAAGTCTTTGACTCAGTTTCCTTTCATCCACAGTTCAGCCACATAGCGATTTGGGGCAGCATCGCTCTCTGGGTGGTGTTTTTTGGAATCTACTCATCTCTGTGGCCTGCTGTCCCGATGGCCCCCGATATGTCAGGAGAGGTAATGTGTCCTCACAATTCATGACCCAACAAGCCATGAGAGTTGATAGTCATTAAAGAACCTTGATTATTTGGCTTGGATTTGTATTAAAATAGTATTTAGCCACTTAAAAGCTGTTTTTTCAGTTCCACAGTTGCAACTGATAAATCTCAAGAGAGTATTTTAAACTTGGACATTTTACTTAAATTTGATTTATCCTTCCATAAACATAGCTGGGACAATAAAATATGGTTATCAAGAGCTTGAATCATGTTAATAATATCCACAAAGAGATGCCATTTTAAAATTAAGCTGTAGATCCACAAATACATTTTGGATATAAGATTTGGGGTAATGATGAGCTGTCTTTGGGACAGTTTATTATGTCTTCAATTATCTCTTATTCTAAAGAAAAGTCTACTGTCACTAGATTAAATGCACTTTCAGAGTTGTCTTAATGACATCTGTTTGGTTTTCATTTTGAAAGAGGGCATCTGACATTTCAGCCTTATCATAGTACATTTTCAATTCTGTCTCAGTTTCTTGTTACACGGGTAGGGGTTGAGTTATTAGGTGCTCATGGGGGAGTGTCACACAATCTCCTTTCCGTTGGTAGAGATTCCAGCAGTAGGAGGGTTTATGATTTCAATTGCAGGAAATTTGACATAAAATGTATAAAAGAAAATGTGGAAAACATTTCAGGATTTCCTGTGACCTCACAGTAACTTGCAAATCAAGGTAATGTGAGCTCCGTTACAGTACATTGTTTTCCCACAGCCGCAGGAAACCTTTCCAGTGGTTTCCATGTATTTGTGGCCCCTAAGTACTGCCTGAGCACCTTTCACTTTTGACAGTCTGGTTTATAGATCATTTTCATGAAATTTTATCTGACAGCATTCTGCTTTTTATAAATTAGCAGAATGCAGACACATTAAAAAAATTTTTGTGGTTAAATTTATTAGAGAAAGGCATTATATACGATTACAGCAAAACCAGACCTATGAAGGAGCATATACTTCCTTCTACCAAAAATGAAGGCTTCTTTTGAAACATGTACTGTGAACTCTAGAAAATTTACAGCATTTATTTTGAGGAGAACAGAGAGAAAGCTTAAATGCATCTTCTCTTTACCTGGGTTTGAGTCTCTTTTTGTGAAGAAATAAAATCAAAGAATATATATGTTGCATGCCCCTTGGAAAATCCAATTCTATTCTTTGTTTTTATTTGATGTTCTCTGTCTGTTTAGACCTGCTTTTCCCTGAGGTCAATTCCAACTTAATGTCTTTTTCTTTAGGCCTCATTTTATCTCATGTCTTAATGTTTTATTTTTAAAATGCATGACATAAAAGACTTTGAGATCCAGATAGTTTCAGGAACTCCAGTAAAGACCTTTGATGGCAAGAATGGAGTTTTTAACCACCTACTTCTAGGACAAGTGTGAAGTTTGATTGGCTTCTTGCCAACCAAATATAATTCTTTCCTTGCCTGTAGAATTCCTGGTATTACCCAAACACAAAATTTAATATCATCTCTTGAGGTTTGCGGTGATGCCGTGTTAAATTCAAAGTGAACCGAATGTCAGTGCTCCGTCACATTTCTGTTCACTTCCTGTGCAGTGGAAGGCTAACAGGGGTTCTTTTTCTTGTTGTTTTATTACTGCTGATACTTTGAATATAATGTTTAAATAGCTCTATTGACAAATATGAGAAATGGATTGATTCAACTGTAGGCTTGACTAGCTCGTCCAAAATGTCAGTCTGCTTAATTTATTCAAAGAAAAGAATAATACTTTAAATGTCCATAATACTTAAGTGTTTGCAAAGCATTCTTATAAGCATTCTTATATATATGTGTGTGTGTGTGAATAAGCCTCACAACGACTTGAAAAGAAGGAGAATGAGAGGCTTGCCACTCAGCTTCTCAAGACCAGTCTACACTTACTGTTCCCTGGGCACTAGGGTATTAGATCCTCCCAGAAAATGTAGCAATATTCAGTATTTGAACATTTTTGTTATACATAGAGAATCACTAGTTCCATTACAATCCAGTTCATTTCAAAAAGAAGTAACTACCCTTAAATTGCCAGTTTTCTAATTATAAAATTCTATAGTTCAGTCAAAAGTATATGTAGCCAAATGCATACATACATATATATATATATATATACATACAAGCATGTATATGATAATTTCATTTATGTGCCAGTATTTATATCTGTGTGTGTGTGTGTGTATATATATATATATATATACACACACACACACATACAAATAAGCCAACCATCTTGAATAAAGTTTACTCATTCATAACAAAATTCTATTGTAATATATTACATATAATTATTATATGTTACACATCATAATACATTATTTTAAATAATACCAGGGTAAGTATAAATATTAGCATTCCTTGATTCCATGTTTTATGTAATCCATATAACAAAATGCAGCCTGGGGCAGCCCTTAGATTTAAGGCTATTCCTTGTGTAAGTAAGTTTCTGCCACCAGCACTAAGCAGGTCAGAGTGTCTAATCCAAAGGCCATACACCTAGGCCACCAGTCCTTTCCTTAATTGATTTGGTAGCAGTTCCTCTCAAAACTAAGTAACTAATTAAATACATATATAAGTTTTCTAGAAGTTTGGTAAGGTCCTTCTACTGGTGCATCCTTAATAGAGATGGAGCAGACAGACCGAAAGTAGCAGCCCTTCTCCCTGCTGTCCTGGCTTGGGTGATATTTTGGAGGGTGAGATATTGTGTGGTTTTAAAGAGGTGTCAACACAATAGAGAAGTTCTTCCAAAAGGCATCCAGGATCTAGGAAGAATAACACCACAAATAATACCTAATGGATTGCACTTTATCGCAGGTATTTCTCTGAGGCCTTTATATGACTTCATTCGATTCAGCAACTATTTGTTTAGATTCTTTTGTGTGTCAGGTACTGTTGTAGACAATGTGGATTCATTAATGAATAAAATAGACAAAAGCCCATGCACTTCTCAGCTCACTTTTTCTAGTGGAAGGAGACAGTCAAGTTAAAGTAATTAAGTGAATACAGAGATGGATATAAGTGCTGTAGACAGAAATATAGCAGGCAAGGGGACCAAGAGCTAAGCTTTCAGTGGGTTCCCCACAGAGCCCGTGGCACTTACTCATGGTCAGACCAAGAGCCATTGAAGGGGCTTAAGAAAGAGGTGTCACGACCTGCCTTAGTTTCCACGGCAGGGCCATGCTGTGTCACGAACCATTTAGGAGGTCATTGCGATAACCCAGGTGAGAGATAATGGTGGCCAGGGCCAGCAGGGTGGCCACGGGAAAGGGGGTCAAATTCTGAATCTAGTTTGAAGGTAGAGCCAATAGGATTTACTGCCGAGTGGATGAGTGAGAGGGAAAGAGGGCAGACTCCTGTGCAGTGGCCGTGAACATCGGCAGGGCGTGGTTGTCCTCACTCACTGAGTCCTCACAACAGACTTGTTGTCATAACCATGTTACAGATGAGAAAACGGAGACACAGAGAAGTTAAGGACCTCCTCTGACATCCCACTAATACTAAGTGACAGAGATAAGATTTTGCCGTAGATGTCTGGTCCCAGAGTCTGCTGCCTTAAACACTGTTCTGTACTGCTTCTCTGCTCGTAGTTATTCAGAGGGATCCATGATACGTAATCTGGAAATTGGAAGTCTGAAGGCACTATCACTCCTCGCAGGTATTTCAAGGATGCGTGTAGTCGAGGAAATCTGTTTTCTGTTTCCCTGACAGCCGTGCCTCCTCTGCGTTTCTTCTCTCTTTAGGCTCTTCAGCGGCCTTGTTCTTCCCCCACATCTGAGCCGCAGGAGCCGATCCAGAGCACTGCAGTGCCTCTTCCTTTCTTTACCTGTCCACCCCAACACAGCAGTGTCGGGCACCAAGTGTTAAATAAATGAGTGTTAAGTACAATTTTGCTTCCTTGTTTTGAACAAACAAGTGAGAAACCATCGGGTACAGGTAACAGAAAGGCAGATAGATAGGTCGTGAGATAGAACATGTTTCTAACATCGAGAGATCCAACAGGTAGTGACTTATAGCAGCAGGACAGGATACTGATCTCCTTCGACCATTTCTGTGCCCCGGCCACTGGTGACGCTCAGGCAGAGCCTCAGCCGTCATCACTAGTGACTCTGCCTTCCAGCTCCTAACATCCATATTCAGTGTGTGCACCTCTTCTCTGTGTTCTCTCTCAGGGAGCACCTGAAATGTTGGAAGGACACAGACTCTTTTGCTCTAGTTAACAGGATCTCAGGGTGCAAATTATATATAAATTAGGCAACTCACAGGTACAGCTTCCATGCTTCTATACTCAGCGGGACCCATATTCACATACAGATTGATTTTTAAAGTCATTTCCAATTTATATTCTTGGCCCATCTTTGCAACCTCCATCTGAAGACAGAGCCATTTCTTTCAACATGTTGAAAGAAAGTCCTTGCTCCCGAAGACAGGGAGGGAAGGGAACCAGCATTCATTGCACACCCTCCATGTTCTCTAGGCATTATGTTTTATCCCAGTCATCCTTGTTTTATTTAAATCCGTGTCACGAACCTTAACAGTAAACAGAGCAGTAGCAGTGACCCGGGGAATTCATGCTGGGTTTTCTTTTCACATCCCATTGGTTTCCTCTACTGTCCTGAGGAATTAAATATCTTCTCTTTGGAGCCCATTGCTATTCCTTACACCTAGGGGCATCTCTTTCTCCTCTTCTGGAAGCCCTCTTTCTTGCATTCCATTAATTTCCCTGCTTTATCTGCTATTTCCCAGGAAATTCAGGGCCCTGATCCATTTCCCTAAGTTTGCCAGGTATAAAAGTGTTCCCATTCTCTTTTAAAAACTGCACAGATTTTTAATTCTCCCTTTTCAGTGTCCACCTAACAGTCTCAACACATTTATAGAATATTCTATCTCACTTCATATCCTGGCTTCTGGCTTAATATGAATTAGCATAAATAATATCCATCTTATTAAATATACATATATATATGAAACTG